TGTTTTGTATGGTGAGTGCAGCCCCTGATCTCTGAGGAGCTGGACCACTCCTCAGACTGATCTCTCCCTGGCGCTCCACATTTGGGCAGGGAGAGGCCAAGGACCCTGAGCTGGTTGTGTTTACAACATCCACTATTCGACCCTGTTTGTAGTTATATTTGACGCAAATGGCTCTCCCATGTGAATTTGGAACCCACGGTGTATTGTAAAAAGGTGCATTTGATGCAGGTGAGGGAGGGAGTGATGCAGACACAATTCTGCATTTATGGTTAGCTCTGCCTCTGCAGTTTTGTTTGTGGTTGTGCTGATATGTTACGACCTTTACCATGGGGGTATGGGTAACCTGGGAGGTCTCTGTGGCTCCCCTAGGTGAGCTGCTGAGAGTGGGGGGACCTGGAATAGAGATGGGTGGTTGTAGGATCATGCTTCACTCAGCGCTAAGCACACTTCCACATTGGGCACCCCTTCTGTCTCTCTGCCTCCCAGAGCAAGAATTCAATGTGATCTTGCTTGGAGATGGCTGTGGTTAGTGGTGATATGTGTGCCCTGGACAGCTGGGAAAGGCTGCTTCTCTCTGAACAGGTAGAGAGGCCAAGGTTGCCTGATGATGGTCTCCCCTTCTCATTTCTCTTCCCAGGAGAAGGAGGCCCCCATGCCCCACTGCCTCCTTCAGCCTCTGCTTACTCCAGCCTCTTCTGTAGAAAACCAGCTTCTTCCTCTTATACGCCAGCACCGAGCCCTTCGGCACAGTCAGCTGCTTCTCTCTCACTTTGATATCCTCTGCCTGTCCTTCACCCTGGGAACAGAAGCCAGATGACACCATCATTCATGCATGTCGTTTTAAAGTCAAAAACATCAAGAAAGCTCATGAGAAAAGGGATCAGCAGCCCCCTGCCCTCACCCTCTCTACTCCTGGTTTCTAGTTCCTGCTCTTCTTTCCTTATTTCATCCTTATTTAGTTTCACGTCCCTTAATTTCATGTTGGTACTGCAATGATTTGATTTTTCAGATTCAAGTACATCTAGTCACTTCTTCTTATTAATGAGGCTTTCATTTTCCTACTCTTTATAGGAGCCGAAGCAATTGATAAAAGGGAAATACCCAACTCCAGCCTCTTCTAGTCTTCCTTGCAGGGCACAAAATATTTATTGAATTACTATTATGTGCTAACCACTATTCTGGATATTAGGGATAAATCAGAAAACATCACAGAAAAATAAAACCCCTACTCTAATGGAGTATACTTTCTAGTTGGGAAGATAAAATAGATGTTATATATAGTATATCATATATGGATAAGTGATATGAAGAAAAATTAAATAATGGAGGATAATAAAAAGTGTTAAAGGGGGTGGAGA